TTTATATATAGTTTTCTATTAATGGTATTGTTTTTTTTTAAGCAACGGATGTTCCAAAAGTGATTCCTTATATATCGGGTGGATCATTTGCGAATCTCGGACAGTACCCATATATGGCAGTAGTACACAGACTCGTGGGTTATGGTGTAATCGAGAAATGCGGCGGCACAATTATATCTAATAGATGGGTTCTCACAGCTGGACATTGCGTAGCAAATAAACCACGAATATTTCTTATCGTGTTTGGTATCGTTGATAAGTCTGGCATAGGATATAATTGGTTCGTTGGTCCCGGACTGTCAATGATTACAACTGAAGTAGTCTTACACCCACAATATGAAAAGTACGTCAACGATATTGCCTTACTTCATATGCCGAGTGACATACCTTTTTCTGGTAAATTTATTTAAGTTAATATTTTCTTTTTTTTCCCTTTTCACATTGTTTCTATTTATGCATCGCATAGTTATTATTTATATGTGCCATCCTAGTAATTGTCATTAATATTTATTAGTTTTCATATCATGTGTATAATTTTAAAGATATTGACCAGCAAGAAAGAAACAGAGTAAAATTATTTCATATAATTATCGTAATTATTGTAATATTAAAATTTTTTAAGAAATAATAGTATTATAATAAGAATAATCAAATATATCATTTTTCCATTTGTAGCGACTATTCAACCCATAAAACTTGCCGATCATAGTTATGAGGGTGAAGTTTTGGTGAATAGAAACGCTAACGTAATTGGTTGGGGAAAAGATAATATCACTAGTAGTGGTACAACAAATCTTAAATATGCTACATTGCCGATCATGTCAAATGAAGAGTGCGACCAATATTGGAAAATCACCGATAAGCACATTTGCATGACTCCAGGATTAGAACAAGATGCTTGTCACGTAAAGTTATAAACAATAATTATAATAAAATATTACAGGTTTAGAACATATTCGAACACAAATGCGAGCGAATAAATCTTCTTTTTTCAATTTTAATAAGTTCTAAGGTACTTTTTCATAAATACATATATGATCTGTTGATTTATAATTATGCTGCATTTAGGGCGACAGCGGGGGTCCTCTGACAATAACGGAGAATGGCCAGGATATTCAAGTCGGTATAGTAAGTTTTGGAGATGTATATTGTCCTAGCACTTTTCCTAAAGTATTTACAAGAGTTACTGCATTTACGGATTGGATTCACGATACTATAAATACATATTTTACATATCACATATGCTATTTCTTACCACTCGATAACTTTTAATGTAAATTTTAGTAACATAATTTAAATAATAATGTGTTATAAAGAGTATTATTATTATTCAAAAAGATAGATTTTTTTCTACAAATATGTACAAATTTATATTTATAAAAGAAAATTAAATTATTTAAAAAATACATAATGTAGCCATTTGAAATAAATGTTGCAAAATAAATATGATATATGCAGAAAAAAAAGATAAAAGAAGCAAGAACTATTTTAACAATTCCTATTAGAATGCAAAACCTGATTTAATTGTCAAAAATGACTGAGTTCGCAACAGATGACTGAAAAGAGCGTTTAAATAACATAAAGATTGTTTCATAAGGATTATATCACTGATTTCGATATTCGATCAAATCGTACATAGATCAATTTCTATTTGAGATACACACGATCTGCACATTGTTTGAAAGCAGCGAATAACTCGAGTTAGTAGAACACGAAATCGTCAATCCAATTAAACGGATATGTCCCATTTGAACCTTGCCACCGTTTGTATTCTGCCTCTAAAGTTTGTAGAAGTTCCCGGTTTTCCGATTAAATGTAAAGTTTATTACCAGTCGTATCAGTTATCTTAATTCCTGAACATTTAGAAAAATAGTGATGGAAATTTTCGTCAAACGAATTAATTAACGTAAATATAGGCAGGCTACAAAATTATTCTTTCGGCATTATTGCAATATGTAAAAATTCAAAATAAAATGGAAAATTGCATTAATGAAATTTACCTTCCCAAAGTTCTGATTCAAATAAAACGCTTTTATAAAGTAAATATCATTATACAAATATAATAGCATATTCTCGAAATCTTTTAGATGTAATAACTTTTATAAAAACTTCTTTATGCGTTATCAAAGTCATTAGTAATTTTGTTAATTGACATCATTTTTCGAAAATCAATGTGACAATATAAATGGAGAGTTTCAGAACAGTCTGCTTAATAGTTTATCATAAACCTACAAAGCGAGAAAATATTTCTGTGTCGCAATCATCTTGACAGTGTGCCAAAATGCTCGAAGTCAGTACACCGATGGAAATGTCACCTACATAAAATACGCAGAGAATGGTTCTATTGTATACGAAATAGATGACATTGCGAATAACAGTGACGTGAATTGGAGGCCGGTGTCTTTGGTTTTTGAAGCGTTAAGGATCAGAGACGTCGATTGATGTCTTTTGATATCTTCGTTTTCATGCGGCATTATTATCGGACAAACTTTCAATTGTTTTAATTAATACATTCACAGTTTGATATGTTCTAAAAAAGGAAGCTGGCTTTTTACAAAATTCAGCTCATACAAACCGCAATGTGTTAATGCATAAATTTAATATTATTTAATATGTATAATTTAATATTCAAAAAATATATATTATTCATAAAATTGTGCTTATTATATGTATAAGAATTTTAATGTATAATTGATTAAATAATTTTACACTTATTATAATTTTCTCTTTTTTAAATCTTACTGTACGAATTTGTTGGATTGTTTTACAATGCAATTGATATCAAGTGATCGGCAAGTTTCACAATTGTTAAATCAAACACGTATGACAATTAATCGTCCATCTATCGCGGTTCAACGTAAATGCAACCTGTTCGCATAACACGAATGATTCTAATCGACGTGACATTGACTCGACGAGATTCGACACATGAACTTCATTTCATATGTCATGCGGCAGCATCCAACGGTCGGATGCTCGCTCGTTTAACGTATTCGTAAATCAAAAACAATTACTGCTGCTCTACACGCTCGCAATAATAACGCACGAGCCGAAAAGGGTTTAATATACAGGGTGGATACATGCTCGACAATTGCGCTTTTGCAATTTGTTTGCACAAAGCGACACTGGGTAACTTGTTCCCGAGTCGAGTAACAAGCGATCGTCCCGAGGGGGGTTAACAACTATCCGGCGGGACCCTCTTTTCGCCACCCCATCCTCCAGGAACGGCGGGGAATAACCGTGTTTCCTCCTTCCATCCACGGTCATTACCAGCTATCACGCAGGATACGACTTTGGTCTCGTGGACCGTGCATAATGGCCACTCCGTTCCGCGCCATTGTGACATCGCCTTTAAAAGCTCGCCGGGTACTCAGCGAGATGCTGAATAAGCGAAACCGTTTGGCGCCTTTATACGCATTTCTGTAACCATGTTCCTCCTTTCGTTAGGAAATATCAGTTGTTAGTTTAGAAAACCACGCTTCTCGGTGCAGGTTTTCGAGTTATTGTTCGCCAGGTCCCATAACCATTTACGATACTTAATTACACACAACCATACCTTTATATCTGTTCAATTAAATATTAAATACAATGTAAATTTTAGAAAAATACGTTTTTTGCTATATGCCATATTTCTAACGTTATAAATAAATAGATAAATAAAAGCATTTATTTTACTGCATACTAAGATAGCTTTTCTCTAATTTATTAATCGTTGAGTTTGATATAAAACGATATAATTAATATAATTTATTCTGAATCTCTTCACATATTTTGATATTTGAAAGTGCCAAAAGAATGTTAGAAGAATAATATTGAAGGATATTTATATATTAATTTAGAATAACCCATTCGACGAAAATTTCCATTATCATATTATTCTAAATGTTTAAGAATTAAAATCGCTGACACGATATTATAATTATAATTTTGTAATAAAACTTATGCGCTATTTTTTCGAGTTTGCACATTTCTCTTTTTCTTCTCAGAAATCGTTGCAATCTTCAACCGACATTCGTAAACAAAGAATATCGATCGTCGTAGGTTTTTTGTCTTGGATTCTCGACCGTAACGGGCCTCATTTCCTTTCCATTCATTTCTCATTTCTATCGTTCACCATACCATCTTTCCTCAGCACATTCGAATGATAGTCTCATTTCAGTCAACCGAAAATAATTAGAAGCGGAATATGCACTGCAAGAACGCCAAACATAAATACTCTGCCTAAATCCCCCCACACTATTTATTAATTATAAAATAAAAAAATATCTAACATTTAAGCTTTCATATTATAAATATAGTGATCATAATGCAAATAATCATTATTTCAAAAGTAAATTCTCAAAGATAAATACATAAATTAAAATTACATGTTCATTTGATGTTAATAACAAATATCACATTTCAAAATTATTTTGATCTATTATACATAGAAAGATAGAGAGAGAGAGAGAGAGATAACATGATAAAAACGTAAGCACTACTATTTCGACTTAGTTTCTCTCTTTCTCTCTTTTTCTTATTTTTGCCAAAATGTTTAAAAAATTTTTAATAAATTTTTAAATTTTAAAGTGTTCGAAACATTGAAAGTATCAAATAAATAATAAAAAAGCGCAAAGAGAGAAGATTCTGTATGAAGATAGCATAATATATCACTGTCGTCAGAGTTTATACAGATTAAGTATTTAATTGCGTTCCAGGCGCTTAGTGCAAAACTTGCAAACATGTAAGCTTTGAACAGCTACACGCGGCTTTAAGTTTCGTCGAGCTCGCCCGAGATTTTACGATCGGTCGACTCGGACGAAGGCTTGATCCCGGATTCGGATACAGTGTTAGCTGTCTCCAACGTCTATCCCGAAGTCGACACTCCACAGATGTTGTTTTCGGCTTGACCTGGTCTCATTCGATAAGTCGATTGCAATGGAAGGAAAAATCCACATCCTACATATTATTCTTTCATATTCATGAAATGTTTAAATCCTTTCCAAATTTCGTACTTATTTCGAGAAAATTCATTAAAGTTCATTCAGATCAATTCACGTTATAAAATTGATAAATAGTGAACCGTATATAAAAAATATATTGATTTTTTAATAAGAATTTCAGAGTTTGCAAAAGGAAAGAGAAGAAATTATTTTGTATTATATTGCATTTTATTTTCAAAATATTGAAATATGTAAAGTATAAAACTGAAAAAAAAAATTGAAGTTGAAACATTCAAGCATTTCTTGAACCAACAATATTATTTCATTTTTTAACTTTTTTATACGAAAAATCAATGACAGAAGGAACAATATCTTTACAAAAACAGATATTTTTTTTTTATAACTGCTAGATTGAAGAAGGATACAAATGAGTAACGAAAGCAAAATCGAAATGCTTGAATGAAAAATAAAGGAGTTTGACGGATTCGGAAGGATCATTCTTATTACAGGAATTTTCGGCGAAGTAAGAAGTGAAACGAACGAAAATCCGCCAGTGTTCGTGCTGGAAGATTCGATATAGTACAGAGCCGGTGGCGGAATAGGAAGTCGAATTTTATAGGTTCCTAGGAGTTCTCTTGACGTTTCCACGAGATATATTACATCTTCCGATATGCCACTGATGATCGAGAGTTTCCTGCCAGTCTGCTTCTCGATGCAAATTGATAGCAATTGATGCATTCGTATGCATTTTGAATGATTATCAGAAAGCTGTTTGCTATACTTAAACCTATGTTTGAATTATTAGAGAAGTAAAATAAAATAGCACATTAAAAGAAATATATATATATATGTATATAATACATAGTTATATAATTAAATTATATAATTAGTATATTCCTCTAAGATTCACATAACAAAAATCAGATACGAAATTATCCCCGATATTATATATATATGTCGAACTAAGAAAATAAAAACTTCAGCAATCTTTAAATAAATTTAAAAATGACTTCATGCGCTTCAATGCGTTCAAGAACTTTATAGTTTTACTTTGTACAGTTATTGTTCGACAATTGGCGATGGAAGTAAAGAAAGGGAAGCAGTTACTTGTTCAGATTTTTCAATTCGCTGTATGATATTTATTACAAGCACCGATCAAACAGAGACAGCAATCGCAAAATAGCACGCCGTTATCGAGCCGTACGTCCGGACGCGATGTAGCTGCATCTGCATCCGGACTTTATCCGGTATAATCAACGAAAGAGAACTAGAGGACACGGACG